CCTGAGAGGTTAGCAAATTGACTAGTCTTCTGACTCATCCGACTGGTTGGGTAGAGCTAGCGAGATATAACAATGCACACGGCGTGTAGACGGATGGATAGTGTGGTGTACGAAAGAACCGATTGGAATGGTCCCTTACAGTTCCATCTTTTAAGCGGAGCCGTAGGATTTGAGAAATGGAACTGTTTGCTTTCGAATTCGACCCACTCGTCTAAGTAGTTGATTAAATCGGCTTGACACTGCAATTGGGGATTTTTGCCTCAGGTTTGGCAAACAGAACTTATCCAGTAGTAGTTCCAGTGATCAGTTGGCGCCCGTATTTGGTGCATAAGTGCATTCAGTGTTTTTAAACTGATTGCCGTGGCGCACCCAAATGTCTGATCCAACCTGAATCTCGTATACGACCTCGCTGGAATTTCAATAAACACAGCTAAGCGTCTGCTTTTCCTGATTGGTCCCGCAGTCCTTTGCTAGCACCGTCTCACCGCGATGTAACAACCTCGTTCCATCTCTGTGACGTCGGTTGAATTGCCTTTCTATCGACGTCGGATCGACTATTCCAGTATTAACACCGACAATCGATGGCGGACGAATTATATCGAATGGCGTGCGAAGCTCTCTGACTCTGCATCAAAAGCTCTGCAGCAGACATACCGTTTGGAGAGCTTGGGTTTGCCATTGCCCGATAGCTAAGTAGGAATATTTTGAGAACTATCGTGGTTCTCTTCTTTTTTGAAGGTGGTGACTAATCGTTCAACCCGTTTGTTGGACTGCGAAATGTATAATGGCCATGATAGTGGTAATTCCTGTTAGTTTGCAGAATCGTTCGAAGGCGACCGATGCTAACTGTCCTCCATTATCCCACACCACAGTTTCAGGATAGCTAAATATGCTGAACAGTCGCCGAAGATTGTTGGTCATGGCTCCGGTTGTCATGCGTTCCATGAGGAAGACTGCCGGCCATTTGCTGTATGCGCCAAAGGCGATAAGGAAGTTCTAAGCATTGCTCGGTCTAGCATAATCGATGTAGACCCTGCGACTTATGAAATAGGCCATGCTTTTATTGTAGTCTTCGTAGTCACCTTTGAATTTGAGCTGCCAGTTCAAGTGGGAATTTATTAGTGTATACCAGACTGTCTACTTCTTTACTTTGTTG